AAGAAAAGCTGTGACTTGACAGATTAGTTCTTATTTTTTGTTTTTGGGGTTTTAAGAATGAGAGTAGCATTTTTTCTACTTTTCTACACACTGAGCAGCAGCCAGATGTCCATTTTACATTTTACGATCATCTATAAATTTATTTATTTTTCTTGCCACACCTTACTGAGAAAACATTTGAAGGAAAAACCATTGTTTCCTGATGTATCAGTAATGCAAAAAATAAATCAATGAAAATATTCAGGTAGATGTGCATTATTTTTGGAAATTTTTCTCCCAGAGAACAAGCAGTCATCTGAAAAATGAAAATGATCACATATTTATCAGGACACATCTAATGTGGTGATATAGTGATTAACCAGGGTTTGAAATTTAGATTTAATTATACCTCCAATAGGTTATTTCCTGCAGTTACTGCTGACCCACACTCAAATCATTGTCATTTTCCTGAGACTTATACATTTTAAAGTATGATTGGATAACATTCACCTCTGCCAAGCTCAGATGTAGATTTATTTGCTAAAGACTTTTAGCTAGATAGTCTACTCTGAAAGTTATAGGAAGCCTTTAAGTATTTTGAAAGGAAACTAATGATTAAAAAGAAAACTAATTGCCTTTGTTATAGGGAAATCCAGCTGTCTGGAACATCTATAGTGTTAACAGTTGTATAGAAATATTTATATTGTGAAGTCATGCAAAAGAAATTCCTGAACATTATCCTAACATGATAATTTGCTACTCTGAGATTTTTTTTTTCCCTCAGGGAATGGCAATGAAGCCCCAATAGGTTTTAGTTATTTTAGGAAATTGTGTCATTTCATAAAGGCAGCTAGTTAGTCGTAAACATTTATTGGACACCTTCTATATTGGCTGCTGTAGAAATCTGAAATGTTGCAAAAGAAATAATTATTCTGAGTAATTGTCAGAAAGGTATGGCGTTCTCTCTGGATCCACTTTGTCTAAACATATAACTCCCAGTGATAATTCACCATCATACCACAGTCCCAGCTCCTCTGTTTATCGCACATTTCTACTCTTTGAGGTTGGAACAAAGCCAACCATGGATTTCCTCTTAGTGTTCTCCCATGAGCCTTTGATCTCCCTGGCCAACTGGATCCCCCAACTCAGGAACAGCTCCCTAGTCTGACACAGCTCCCCTACAACTCAAACCTTCTATCAGGTACCTCATTGAATGAAAATGTCCTCATTCATCTCAACAAAAAATCTAAGAAAATAAATTTATACTCAAGTGTATTTTACCAAGACATCTTTCTTAAGAGGTTATCTTTCCTGTCATATTTGTATGTGTTTTCCTTTTGATTTGAACAGAAGATACCTCAGGCAGGTATCTGCCTGCAGTTCTGCATATCACTCTGGGAGCTGGCTCCTAGTCTGTATGTAGGCAGACTCTGCTAACCTTCATGTTCAGGAGCAGGCTGCAGTGAGCATAATGAGGTTGGTCTATGCTATCTCCACATTCCCGCCTATTCATCTTCATGACAACTGTGTTAGGAGTGCCATCTTTGGAAACAGGACAAATTTTTCTCTTCTCCTTTTTTTGGTTGAATTTTCATCTTGTAATTCCAGTGTCAGCTTAATGTTTAGGGCTTATTTAACTGGTACAAATCCCTATCCAGGGTTCTGAGGCTCTCAATGACATCAAGTTTCCTAGTAGGAAAAGATTACAGTAGTCCCTCCTTATTCCACAGAAGATATGTTCCAAGATTCCCAGTGGGTGCCTCCTTGGATAGTACCAAACCCTACATATACTATGTTTCTTTCTATATACACATACCTATAATAAGGTTTAATTTAAAATGAGGCACAGTAGGAGATTAACCAGAACATAATAAAATAGAACAACTATAAGCAATATACTATCATCAAAGTTATGTGAATGTGGTCTCTCTCAAAATATCTTACTGTACTATACTCACTTATTTTCTAACCACAGTTGACTGTGGGTAAGTGAAACCAATGGAAGAGAAAGTGCAGACAAAGGAGGATAACTGTGGTCTCTCCTGACTTTAAACTGAATACAGAAGACCAATCATCCCTACTTGTTCTCTCTAAGAAACTAACAGGGAAGCACTCCTTCTTCTGGGTAAGCCTCCTTAGGTGGGCCTAAGACACTGTAGTACAACACTGCTTACCCATTCCCAGTGGGCCCAGTATGTTACTGCTTAAGCTTGGCTCAAGAGATACCATGGTGAAAAGACATTGAGTGAATTAAGTTCTCTGTAGTCTGACCACTGTAAAGAAGTTGTTTTAAGTCCTCTGGTGTCGAATTGGGGAGGCAATACTGTAACCCGAGACCTACAATCAGTTTAGAAACACATGTCAGAGAATAAAAAGAACCTTAGAGTTCAGTCAAGCAGATGTGCCATAAAAGGTTAGGGATGGGTGTGAGAAGAATCAAGCCCTTCTGATTGGCCTGCCTCGGCCTCCCAAAGTGCTAGGATTACAGGTGTAAGCCGCTGCACCCAGCCAATAACATGAGTTTCTTAATGTACCAGAAAATATCAAAAAATGTAAACAAGATGAAACGCACCTTTACAGCTGAAATAGCAGCTATCTGTTAGGTGTGAACTGGTTGATATGATCATAGCTTGAAATCTGCCATAGTAAAAGTATTTACACCACAGAAAGAGGGAAATGGCAGTTCAACTTCAGAGAATCAGTACTTTTGTTCATTTTATTTTGTACCATTTAATACAATATTTGTTTTGATGTAAGAGTTTCCTCCTAGAAATGTGTACAAGTGTGCAAAGCTATATAAAAGAACATTCATTAAAATATTATTTTAAATACAGAAATATTGGAAATAACCTAAGTGGCCATCAAAAGGCTAATGGATAAGTTGTATTCAGTTATTTAATGAAATACTATATAGCAGAGAGAAAATCAACAAATTAGAACCTCGTATATATGTATATATATATAGAAATAAATTTCAAATAGATAATGTTGAGATTTAAAAAAAATTGAATGCATAAATATATCACTTATTGGAAATTTAAAATATTAAAAACTGACTGGGTGCAGTGGCTCATGCCTGTAATCCCAGCACTTTGGGAGACTGAGGTGGGCAGATCACCTGAGGTCAGGAGATCGAGACCATCCTGGTGAAACCTCATCTCTACTAAAAATACAAAAGTTAGCTGGGTGTGGTTGTACGCGCCTGTAATCCCAGCTACTCAGAAGGCCAGAAGGCTGGGGCAGGAGAATCGCTTGAACCTGGGAGGCAGAGGTTTTAGTGAGCTGAGATCACGCCACTGCACCCCAGCCTGGGTGACAGAGTGAGACTCTGTCTCAAAAAAAAAAAAAAACACACACACACAAAAAAACCCCACACAAACAACAAAAAACCATGATGTGTTATTTTTGAATGTTGTTAAAGCATAAAAACATGAATACAAATGATAAATATGATTTCAGATAGAGATTTCCTCTCTCAGGGAAATAGGATTGGGGATGGGTACCTAAGAGGTTTGAATTGTATCGATACTATTTTGTTTTTTAACATGGTGGTAGACAGTTGTTACTTTATTCTATATAATTTTTGTTCTGAAATATTTTATAACAATTTAAAAAAGAATGGGCCCATTTGATTTAAAAAAAGCTTAACAGCCAATCAACAAGGTAAAGACGGCTCAGGGATCTTGAGATTCTCAAAGTTACAATGATCTCCAAGCAAACCTAGGTGGCCCCTTCCAGGAGGGCCGCATAAATCCCATCATGCCTCCTGGAGGAGTGGCTCTCAAGCTTTAGCATGCTCATGGCACCTGTGATTCTCATTTAGTTAGTTTGAGGTTGGGCCTGGGAGATGGAATTTTTATCAAGCACACCAGTGATCTTGGTGGGGGTGATCGGGATATCTTTGAAAACCACAGATCAATCCCCAGGAGCCCATGGTCCTTAAGTCTTTGCCAGAGACTCATCACTAATAATTATCCAGAGTCAAATAAGAATTGAGTATAGAATCCAAGGAGCATTAGAACTGTGACCTTTGTATACTTGCTAGTAATTGCGTCTGTTTCATGCTCAACATCATGAAACCCCTTGGAACCTGTGTGGTTTTGCTGGGGCAAGAAATAATGTTAAAGTATGATGGAGAAAGTTGCAAACAAGCCCTGAATGTCCACAAATTATCAGAGATGGAACTAATAGTGTAAGGGGAATTACATAAACAATAACTTGGCATTAATTGTGAATGGATGCCATTATATACTCTTTTCCCTCATTACCAAAATAACATTTTTTCTTTTCTTTCTTTCTTTCTTTTTTTTTTTTTTGAGACCAAGATTCATTTTTGTTGCTCAGGCTGGAGTGCAGTGGTGCAATCTCAATTCACTGCAACCTCCGCCTCCTGGGTTCAAGCAATTAACCTCCCTCAGCCTGCTGAGTAGCTAGGACTACAGTTGTACACCACCATCTCAAGCTAATTTTTGTATTTTTAGTAGAGATGGGGTTTTGCCATGTTGGCCAGGCTGATCTCAAACTCCTGACCTCCGGTGATCCACCTGCCTTGGCCTCACACAGTGCTGGGATTACAGGTGTGAGCCACCGTGCCCAGCCAATAACATGTGTTTTTTAACATACCAGAAAATATGGAAAAATGTAAAGAAGAGGAAACCCACTTTTACTATTACTACCACAGCTGAAACAGCAGCTATCTGTTATATGTAAACTGGTTGATGTTTTCATAGCTTGAAAAAAGTGAAAGTATTTACGCCACAGAATAGGCAAATGGCATAAATCAGAGCCCTTGAAGACTCCTATCCTAGTCTTAGTTGTTAAACACTTGCTAGCAAACCATTGAGCCATACGCATACACACATGCATGTATGTATTTATATATTTGTTTACATATCTATTTTCCCCCAATATTTAGATAATACTATAATGCAGCTATAAACTGTAAGTGTGTTTCTGACCCAAAGAATATCTGAGCCATCTTAGGAAATTAATAGAACATCTCTTTCTCATATCCTGTGTAGGGGGAACAAGGACCACAAGGCTTTCCAGGGCCAAAGGGCACAATGGGCTATGGCCTCCCAGGCCAGAAGGTAAGTATCTCAGGATCTTAGAAAAATGCGTAGGCTTACGGATTCAGTAGCTTAACTTTTTCTTTGGAAGAACCCTAATATATATGTCATGCCTCCCCCTACAACTCTCAGAAGAAAAAAAAATCCACTTGAAATTAAATCCTTATGCATTGCTTTTTCTACCTATAAATAGGTTTACTTCATAAAATGTCCTTTACTTTGAGAGGTTGAGACAGGGGGATTGCTTGAAGCCAGAAGTTCAAGACCAGCTTGAGCAATATAGTGAGATCCCATCTCTACATTTAAAGGAAAAAAACCTCATTTTCTTTATTCTCAGAAGATAAGTAATAAATCCTGCAACATACTATGTAGGAGATACCAGATAACTCAGGTACCTGATAAATTGTGTAATAGTTGAGTGTCCTGAAAGGTGAGCTGATTAGATGGTATTATATCTCAAGGTCTCTTTACTCTGAGACCTCTGGCTCATCATGAATTAGAGGATGGTATCTGATGACATGTAAATAAATTACCCCCAATTTTTTTTTCAAACAGTATATTCGTATGAACAAGAAGTGAAGGTCTTCAAGAGACACCAGTTGCAGATAAACAAAATTATAGATCTTTTCTTATCTGGTTTTTATATTTACATTCTGAACCTATGATTTTACCTTATTGTAAAGGGAGAGCACGGAGACCAGGGTGATGTAGGAAAGAAAGGCGATAAAGGAGAAATTGGAGAGCCTGGATCTCCAGGAATACAGGCAAGAAGTAGTTTTTAATGTCTCATTATGATTTTATACTCTAACTGGTTCCAACATATGTTGACTTTTACTCTTTTTCCAATAAGTAGGGTTTGCAAGGACCCAAAGGAGACCTAGGACTTACAGTGAGTATCCATTCTAGAGGGTAATTGAGGGTTTTGTGATTGCGAAATTGTTGCATTCATGCTTTAGCTTTAGAATTATGAATTTTTTGGATGCAGAATTCCAGTTGCTATTTAAATGAAAGCAACTACTACCAGCCCAGTGTTGACTTAGATGCATGAGGTAATTGAATCTGAATATAAGGGAAGAAATAACACTAGGAGCCTTGTCCTGGTGGATGCGTGTGACCACTCCCCTCAGATCCTTGGTAGAAATGATCACACTGCTATTATTGGCAACAAGAAGGTGAGCTTTTTGTTTCAAAAAAGCCAAATTACCAAATGTCTTTATTTTATGTGGTCCATCTCAATTTAAAATGAGGGAGGAGAGCAGCAATCACAAAATTGGGATTACATCTATGTATTCATTCAATTATTCAGTGTTTGTTAAGCATCTACAAACTTTTTCCTATTATTCTCCCACACCATTAAGAACAGAAAACTGACTCTTGAAAATCTTGTGAGTGGGAAGGCAAAGTCTAATTCTTCCTTTCTGATTTGAAAGCTATGCATCTTGTGGAGTTGAGGAAAAACAGGGATCTTTTTTTTTTCCTGTTGGACGTTTCCAGGCGTCATGGTCTTGGGGGCTGATTCGATGTACTGCGCTAGGAATGTTCAAGTGTGAGGGAGAGGGAGTTCAGGTGGTGAAGGCAAGAGCTGAGAGCTAATCATGTGACCAACAGAACTGTGTGTTCTGTGGCCTGTCTGCCTTTTTCTCTTTGTTGTTCCCCACCACAAGTCTGACCCCTAAAGATGCCCATAGTAGATGAAGTAGCTATATATGCAGCAATTTCTCCCCAAAAGTAGCAGGGGAGAGTGTATGCAAATGAGCAGAGGAACGTTCCCTGTATGTTTATACCTGCCCTACTGTCCCAACATGGGGAGTGGGATTGGTTTCCTTTCTCCATTCACTTATTCATCATTCATTTCACCAACACTTATTAGACGTATCCAGTAAACCTTACTCTGGATCAGGCTCTGAAATAGGCACTGGGGGAATAGTGGAGAGTGAGGCTACCTCTTGGGATTGAAGGAGCTTATAGCCTGGTGGAGAGAAAGACAACAAAGGATGCTCACCTACGGCATGATAAATGCTATGATAGAAGAAGTGGTCTGGGGGTCGAGAGCAGACAAAATGGTGTATGATGGTGTTTGAGGGCAGGATACGCTTTATCTATTGAGTGGAAGCTTTTCAGCCAAGAGACAGAGACCTTAGAAGTAGGGACATCATTCTGCTGACTTGGCTTTCTAGATTCTGGAAGAAGAGACTAGCAAGAAGAGAAGAGTGAAGGAAAAGAGAATTTAGTATGTGACAGGCTCTGTGTTAGGCTCCTCTATATCAGTACATGTTAGCTAGTACTGTAGGGTGTTTTAGAGGCCTCTTCTCTGGAACTCTGGTCCTTCTCCAGCTGGACACCTTCCTCTGGGTGAGAAGTCCTTGGGGCCAAAGGGCACACACATATGTCCCTCTATGCTACACTCTGGATGCATGAAATTCCAGAATTCTCAGTTTAAATGGCCACAGGTTTAGAGAGCTGAAGCACAGGCCTTGATGCATGGGGCCAGCCAAGAGATGGCCAAACAGCAGATGGTTTCAGGGGATTTGGACAGAGCTTGGAAATGAGGACTGGGTTCACTGCATGAATGCTGGCCAAAGTCCCATGTAGTATAGGACTAGTGGGTTGTAGTACAAGAAGGAGGCAGGCTGATGGCCATAACCTTCTCTTACCTAGGATCTCACCTTTACTCTGCATGACAGCTCCATGAGGCAGACAGTATCTCACATCAAATGGAGACACACAATAAGGTTGATCATTACGCCCAAAGTCATCTAACTGGTACAGTGCAGAGGCCTTATAGCTAGAGGTGGCCTATCTGATACCAAATTCATGCTGCTCCCGATGAAAGCTGTTCTTGGAAGGCCTCTGTCCTCTCCTCCCTCATCCTTTCCCTGATCAAATGTATCCCCCAAAGCTATCAATTGTGTAGATTCATTTCAGACGAACACACTCTTCTTTTAAGAGGTAAATGGCATTGATGGCATTAAATGTTTTAATATTTCTCATAAAATTCCTTAAAAGGACTCTTATTTCTCCACCTTCCACTTCAGTGTTAGCATTTCTCAATGTCTATCCTCTCACTCTTCCCTGTCTTCAAACTCTAAGGGAATGCAGCCCCTAAAGGTAGGGAAACATACAGTTTGAAAAGGCTAATTCAATAGCACAGTGAAAGCATATGGCAAATAAAAAAATTTGTGATTTTATATTTAAACAGAAAGAATATGTTTGTCAAATGTGGGGTAGGGGAAACATACTGGCTTTAAAAAGGCTGAGAAGCCCTGCTCCAGGCAATCTTTTTTTAGTCCCTGTTTTAACAGCCATGCGTATGTTGGTGTTTCTCAAATGTGCCTCCTGCTTGGACAGTTCTTCCGAGCACCAGATCTAATATCCTACAGATCTAATATCCTACTGCCTGTGGACATCTCTAGTTGGATGTCTTAGACACATGAGATTCAGCCAGACTCAAGCTGGGCTCAATCGTCTTTATGAGCTCCTAACCTGCCCCTTTCCCACTCCCACCTCTCTCAGAGTATGGCCCCCCTCAAAGTATGGCCCTGCTGTCATTTACCTCCTCTTAGACTCCTTCTTTCCCTCATCCTTTCTTCCAGTTACTCACCAAGCCCCTTGTTCTCCCTCTGGAATGTCCCTGCAGGCTTGTTCTTCTCATCCATTACTTCTGATGGCTTTTGTATTTTGCCTGAATTATTTAGGAACCTCAAACCCCTCCCCTGGTTCCTATGATCATATCTTTTAAATAAAAGTCCAACCAGAGCTTTGTCTAGGAATCGGGCGAGTCCCACTACCCAGGATAAAGTTCACACGCTTCAACATGACACAAAGGTCTTCGAGGGTCCCTCTGTCTCCAACACTTCTTGTCATTGTTTTGGCTATGCACCCCGATTCCTAAGTTTACTCTGGTACTGTTATACAGTGTGCCCTGAGAGAAGGCTGATCCTCTTGCCTGAACGCTCCCACTTGCTGTCCCAACCTGGTCAGGGTCTGCCTCCCTGGACCACAATCCCATTCCCATTCTCCTGCCCCAGGAATACCCAGCAGATCAAGATGGTTCCTTGGCTCTACAGAGCACTTAAAAAAGTCTTCGTTTGTCTGCCTCTTCAGAGACTACGAATCCTTTGAGGGGTATAAATGTGATGCCTTGATCACTGGCACCAAGTAGCCAAGGTAGTTATTCAGTGATTTTAGTGGAAGGAATGAACTCTTCTAGTCACTTAAATGCAAAGAATATGAAGAAAAAAAATTAAATATATATATATGGTGACTTCAAGCATCCTAAACCTGATTATGCCACAAAAATATGTTGAAAAATTAAAATCCAACCTTGATCCATGCATTGCTCCTGTAAGTCAATAAAAGATATTCCCATAGAAAAAGATAGGGCAAAGAACATACAAAGATATGCACAAGGGAATACAATTTGGAAACATGCATATGAAATGAAATGTAGCCTCACAAGTAATTTAATGAATATATTTTAAAACAATGAGAAATTTTGCTCTACCAAGTGGCAAAGATGATATAACAATAGTTGCCAATATTGTGTGGCTAAAATAAAATGGGTTTTCTTATTGCTGCTGTTGAAGCTGTCAGTTACTACAACTTACCTGAAGTACAGTATGAGAGTGTGAATCACAGAGCCTTAAAGTGGCCATACATTCAATTTCAGTAATCAAGATTTTCAAAATCCTTAATAATGTGGAAGATGAATTATAATATTGTATTAAGTGAAAAATTATAACCATACAAACTTGGTATTTTTTCCATTTATAAAAAATTAAACATATAAATACATATATCTCCCCTTTCTAGATGTACTTAATATAAATATACAGATACATACATTTTACCTTTCTATACATATTCTTGTTTCAGATTTTTTAAATGGCTTTTTAAATGTGGAAAAGCATGGCAAAGCCTAGAAAAAAGATGACTGTTGACTCTCTCATTTTGAAGAATTGTGTTATATAACTCAGCACTGCAGTAGAAGTTCTTTTTAAATAGCCAGTTGTAATCATTAGCTTTTACTCAGTTTACAGCTTAAAAAGTTAAATTAAAATACTCTGAATATTTCCCATGTATTCTACTTTTAAGCCATGTTACTGGCTATATCACCTCTACCTCGATTCTGTCATTATAGACTTGTTCTTACAAATTTTACTTTTGCACCTGTTAAATTGTTTTTTCTTAGATTGGGTCCACTGGTCCTTCCCGTTGAGATCTAGGCTTCTGTTAATCATCTCTTTTAGCTTCAAGTGTTTGGCCAATGTAGAATCCTGCCTTCCCTAGTCCCATTGTAGTTAGTTATAAACACACTGCACAGGGAGGGGCATTGGCAGCTGTCTTTCTAGTACCCAGCTCATTTCAGGCCCTTCTGATGGAGCTTGTGGGCAGCAGGACAAGGAAGGGGCATTCAGGAACATGGGGAAATGTCACGGAAGAGCCAAACTGAGAGTGTTAAGAGACTGAAGAGAGGACTTGAAAAATCAGGAACTAGTACAGAAAAGAAGAGAAAATATGGCATAGAATGATTCTCTCTAGGTATTGGGGCTTGTCTTGGTTGCTCAGCATAGGTGGTTTAAATTGTATAACTGAATGTATATATAGCACCACACCACTGTCAATATGGTAAAGTTGCCAGACCCTGTGCTAAGACGTACCTTAACAGTGTTTAATCCATACTATAGCCCTGAGATGTAGATACTGTTAGGGCACCAGATGCCCAAGTTCACACAGCTGATAAATGCTGCAGTTGGAATTTGAATTCCAAAAGTCTCAGCTATTAAGTTTCACAGCTCAAATGCATTTTAATTATGATATAGTCCACATTTGACTTCTGTGTTATTTATTTTATTTTCTGCAGTGGAAGGATTCAGTCAAATGGTCCAATGCTGATTGTAATAAGATATCTTTCATGGCCATAGGAAAAATATTATAGTCATACATTTAGTGGTAATACATTTTTCTTTTTATCCCCCAGAAAGAAGAAATTATCAAACTTATTACAGAAATATGTGGTAAGATTTGACTATCAAGAAAAAAACATTAAAGTATCACCCTTACTATGTACTGTGTTGGTGAGAGAATATGTTCATGCAGATGTATATTATATAGCTAGTGGGAAAATGTGAGGTTCATTTGAAAAGTCAATGGAAACTGAAAGGAAGCAGTAACAGAGACTGTGGGAATCCTGAAGTAAGAAAATAAAATCATCTTCCCAGGCTAGTTAAGGCATGTGAAGGTGCTGGCCTAGAATGTGTAGGCAGCCAGACCTTTCTGTCAGCATAGTGCTTATTTGTATCCAGTGACATTTACCTGAGCTGAGAAGAAAAACTCAAAAAAGGAAATACAACTACAAAAGCCCATCTGGTATTTGAGTCCAGCCTAGCTGGTGATTAGAATTTATGTGTTTTTCCTGAAGCTATGAAATCTTTCCAAGTTGAGTTTTGAGTTGTACTCAGTCCCAAAGGTGGGAGGACAGAGTCAGGTGTTCATCTTGCTTCACAACTACTAAATACTTCCATAACTGAATAGCAGACTTAGAGTTACAAGAAAGAGAAAGTGAAGGAAAAAAATTAGCCAAAAGACAAGAGACTAATGGAATAATAATGGGAGAATCTTCTGGGTTTAAAGTGGTCAGAGGCAGGCATATCATTGTCCTCCTATACAGGGAATCCCAGAACCAGCTTATTCCCTAAAAGACTGCTGGGCCTAAGAAGCAGCCTGGGAGTCTCTCTGATGAGAGGCCATTCTAGACATGGCTTTCGGGTTCTAGAAGTCTTATAAAAATAGCACATGATTGCCTGATGGTTTTCTGTAGTAGGCTTGTTAAACAACAACATGAAGATATGAATAAAGAAACAGAACCCTGATAAACGTATTTCCTGGTGACTCTAGCAACTGCTTTAAGTGGTTATCAACCTAAATAGAAGGTGTTTTTTTTTTCTTCTTTTTGGAGATTGAGTCTCATCAGTTGCCAGGCTGGAGTGCAGTGGCGCGATCTCAGCTCACTACAACCTCCGCCTCCTAGGTTCGAGCCATTCCCCTGCCTCAGCCTCCTGAGTAGCTGGGACTACAGCTGTGCACGACCACGCCTGGCTCATTTTTTGTGTTTTAGTAGAGATGGGGTTTTACGATATTGGTCAGGATGGTTTTGATCTCCTGACCTCATGATCCCCCTGCTTTGGCCTCCCAGTGCTGGGATTACAGGGGTAAGCCACCGCGCCTGGCAAGGTTTTTTTAATTGACAAGTGTTCTCTGGGATCACTTCCTTCAAAAGTTTTTAGCATGGATGTACTGCTGGCCTCCTTGATAACATGAAAGCTGCCATAGTTGTCACTGTGGGTAATTGGAGACATAAAAAATAGAGTAGTTAGGGTAGGTTTTCCTAGGTACATTTAAGGTCCCAGTCCTTCCACCACAATGACAATTTTTCATCTCATTACTTCATCCATTGGCCAGGCTGGTGAGCAAATCTCAATTTTCATATAAGGCTATGGCTGAAGACCGAAATATTAGCTCTCGTATTCAGATTAAATACAGTAGTGGTATGATAAAGAGCAAATGTAGGATGGTGGTTTCCTCTTTGGGAGAGGAAGAAGAATGTTATTGGGAAGGCATCCACAGGGTATGTTAACTCTTTTAAAATATTTGGCCGGGTGCGGTGGCTCACGCCTGTAATCCCAGCACTTTGGGAGGCTGAGGCGGGTGGATCATGAGGTCAAGAGATCGAGACCATCCTGGTCAACAAGGTGAAACACCGTCTCTACTAAAAATACACAAATTAGCTGGGCATGGTGGCGTGGGCCTATAGTCCCAGCTTCTGGGGATGCTGAGGCAGGAGAGTTGCTTGAATCCAGGAGGTGGAGGTTACAGTGAACCGAGATCGCGCCATTGCACTCCAGCCTGGGTAACAAGAGCGAAACTCCGTCTCAAAAAAAAAAATTTTTACTTTTTAATCCAAGAAATAAGCACATAAGTATTTATTATTTTATCTACTACAGTGTTTTTTCCCATATACACACACACACATATGAAAAAATATATATATGTTTTAAAAGAGTCAATTGTAGAACCAGAAAGGAGACAGCTGTCAGATATTTTCACAATCACAGAAAAGGAAGAGAATAATTGAATAATTGAGGTCTCAGGTTCGTCGTTGCCTTTTTCTCCCCTCCCCTCATCAGTCTGACACCAGTCATTCTCTCAATGTTTCTATCTCAACATTCATCTTTTAGGTTGTGGGCCCAAATGCAAAGAGACTCCACTAGAGCTGGTGTTTGTGATTGACAGCTCAGAAAGCGTGGGACCAGAGAACTTCCAGATCATAAAAAATTTTGTGAAGATTATGGCTGACCGAGTTGCTCTGGACCTTGCCACAGCCCGCATAGGCGTAATCAACTATAGCCATAAGGTGGAGAAGGTGGCTAATTTGAAGCAGTTCTCCAGCAAGGATGACTTCAAGTTGGCTGTGGACAACATGCAGTATCTGGGGGAAGGCACATACACAGCCACTGCTCTCCAAGCAGCCAATGACATGTTTAAGGATGCAAGGCCAGGTGTAAAAAAAGTGGCCTTGGTCATCACTGATGGGCAGACAGATTCTCGTGATAAAGAGAAACTGACAGAGGTGGTGAAGAATGTCAGTGACACCAACGTGGAGATATTTGTAATCGGGGTGGTGAAGAAAAATGATCCCAACTTTGAAATATTCCACAAAGAAATGAATCTAATTGCTACTGACCCAGAGCATGTTTATCAGTTTGATGATTTCTTTACCCTACAAGGTAAGGAAGGCTGTCTGGCTCAGGGCAAAGGCATTTACATTGTTCCTCCAAGTACCATCTCACTGGTTTGTCCTGACCAAATAGAAAATTCTGGAGGTTAGTAAGGCTTATGCCAACATTAAATTGTAACACATAAACTCCAGAAGATAAAAACGTTTAGTATTATTCAGTTTGGAGGTTACAATCCCTTGTCTTTATTCAGGGTTAATAATTGCTAAGTTGGCCTTGGAGTTAACTAGAGTCCATGGTCAACAGACAGGAATGAAGAGAGAGAATAGGACTTGGGGATATTCCTAACATTGGTTAAGGTTCAGAAAGTTGCCTAACTAGAATAAGGATTTGAGACAGCCGACAGCAAGGCAGAAAATAGTCATGAAATAAAAAGTAAGAAGTGCATATTGAATGAAAAAAAGTTATGGTCATCTAAAGAGATGAGAAATTCAAGTAACTGGGATGAATTAATCATGAAATAAAAATTAAGAAGTGCATATTAAATGAAAAAAGTTATGGTCATCTAAAGAGATGAGAAATTCAAGTAACTGGGATGAATTTGAGGGCATGGTCTATTCTCTGTTTTAATGAAAGCACATAATGATGAGTAAACAGGTTGATATTAGGAATGTATCTCAAAGAACATCATTTTAAAATTCATAGTAGAGTCAGTGCTAATCTGATAGGCCTCTCTATGCTAAGTTTATCCTTTCATGTTAACTGATATTTACTAATGACTCATCTATGATTAAATTATGGTCAGTATGACTGTATAATGACATTTATCCCAATTCTTTGGAAACCGATGATTCATTCTGGCAGGCCTGTACTTGGCATGTTTGTGAAGTAAGTGAAAGGCTTCAGTTTGCCTTTGTCCTTCGTCCTTTAACCACCTAGGAGTGGGGTCTGATGTGGTTGGGCACAGCCCACCAGTGCCTCATGCCCTGCATACTCCATGTACCAGCACAACTGGCCCTACAGAGAGCATACCACACTCAGAAACTTTCCGTTTACTATTTCTCACCTTCTCCAGAGCTTTATAACCTGGGGTTCCACTTCTTCATTACCCTGCTGGCTGACTGGTGGGTTTATCTGATATGTTCAATCTCATTGGGGTGTGAATGTGTTTGAGTAGCCAGAGCCATTTCAGAGCCAACTCATATTTTAATCTTTGAAGAGCTTTATCATTCTATCTGGAGTTAGTAATTTGTTACAGCCAGTAAGGAATGTATTTTTCAACTGAGTGGCTATTTGCTATCCCTAATACCATAGGTAGTTGCAAATTCAACTTATTATGGGTGAGGCTAGCTCTTGACACGGAGTGACTCATGGTGAACAGAGACACTTTGGAAGAACGTACTTTAAAGTCATTCTTTTGCCTCTTTGTGTCATCATATGTATTTAATTATTTTAGATGACCTCTTATACAGGATGTAAAAAATGCTTTTATAAGTTAGTTTACTTAGCAGTTGATTTCAAGTAATAGGAAATTACATATTTTAAGGAGAGTACAGATCTTCTTAAATGAGTTTTAAGTATTGTTTCATTGCTTCTACTATCTCTCTTTTCTATTTCTTTTTTAAAAGATACCCTGAAGCAAAAGTTGTTTCAAAAAATTTGTGAGGATTTTGATTCCTATCTTCTTCAAATTTTTGGTTCATCATCACTTCAACCTGGATTTGGGATGTCAGGGGAAGAACTCAGTGAATCTACTCCAGAGACTCAAAAAGAAATTTCTGAGTCAGTAAGTAACTGTCTCACTTACTTTGTGGGCTTAAAATGGTGTGTTCTCTCTGTTTCATATCAAAGATTATTCTGCCCTGCATTGTCAAGAATCAGCTGAAGTATGTGTATTTTTAGGTTGTTGGCTTTAAGTGTTAGTATCTTGACTGCAGATTTCCATTCTGAAATAGCTTTAGGTTTTGTAGGGTATTTTTTTTAACACTTCCATATTTTATAAGTAATTATTTATTACATATTGTCAATAATATTTTTTATATTATACCCCTATCACCATTAAAGTAATCATGTATGCTAGAACAGATTAATATGACACTCTGAATTCACCTACTTGGCATGCTGTGCAGCACCTTTCATACCAGGCCACAGCTCTCCCTCTTCATCTGTGCATCTGCTTCCCACTTTGTACCCTCTCAAGTTTTTTCTAAATATGCATATGCTCAATTGGCCACTCTCCCACACTCCAAGTCATGCTTTTGCTCATTTGGCTTCCACCTCCTGTGCTCTGAGTGAGGTCTGTGAGGGAGGCTATATATGCATATGGTGCAAGGTAGAGGCTGTTTCAGAGCCCCTCAATCACATAGCTTGTGAAGAACCACCTCCTGAATCAATTGAGACAAATGTGACTGTTATAGCAAGCTTATGGGAACTGACTTCAGCTAATCAGATTATGGGCAAATATTAGTTTTTTTAAGGAGAAAATGGGGGAGCCTTTCATAGTCACTGATGAGTGCTATAGTCTCTTCCCCACCAAGTTGCAACTTGGGCAAGTCTAGACCAATTTCTGTTACCCAATGGACATCCTCTGGCAAGCAGGCACATAGCAGTCATGCCCTCTTCTGTAAGTTCAGTGAATTCCTTGCATGCCCTTTTCTGAAGCTTTCATGTACATGAAACAGTGATCATAAGCATGTACAACAGTGTTCTAACATTAGGATTTATTGAACAGTCTGGTTAGACTAAGGCCCTAAGGAACATTTGGATCAGTAGTTGGACCCAGGGCCATTCAGGAATCAAGCCTAGGATACCATTCCTAAGGGTACAGACTATAGTACTCAGTAGATTCTCATATCCTGTTCACAAAAGGGAAGAAAGGCCTCTAACATATTTCTGTTTCATTAAATAGCAACCAACTGCAAAATGGGTAATTCCAGTCAGGGCAACAGATTCTACTAGGTTGCAGATTGAAATTAACACAAACATTTATACTCCATGGTCCACATCAGGGGTCAGCAAACTCTGTAAAGGGCCATATACTGAATAGTTTTGTATTTGCAGGTCATGTGATTTCTGTTTCAATTACTCAACTCTACATTTGAAGTAAAAATGTAGCCATAGACAATACTTAAATAAATGAATATGGCTGGGTTCTGATGAAACTTATTTACAAGAACAGGTAGTGACTCGGATTTGGCCCACAGTGGTTTGCCAACCCTAAATGATGCTGCCCATTTTAAAGTAGATTCCAGACAGTACTGAACACAGTCTATCTCCTCCTGAGCATGGATTGCTACTGAGGCCTCGCCTGTTTGTGTGGCTTACCACTTAGTCCCTCTCCTAGTCAATCATCATCCCTTTCTAAAGTCTTCCTAAACAAGAGCAAGCTCAGGTTTCATCCAGGAAGTGATGCTTCAGCTGAGCCCTCCTTATAATCACTGAATCACATTTCTTGCTATATTAATACCAATGAATTCCAGCAGCATGTATTGATCATTTACTGCTATGATAGATGGTGTGGCTCTTAAGACATTGCTCCTTCTTGAGAGAAGCTCACATTTTTTCAGGGAGATAGGTAAGTACAAGATGCATTATGAATTTTAGCAGAGCTATGAAGGAAGCACAAAGATGATGCAGTTAATTTCAGGAGATAGTAATAGGAAAGTGTCTCAGTCTATTGGGGCTGCTATAACAAAAATACCATAGACTGAGTGGCTTAAACAACAAACATTTATTTTTCACAGTTCTGGAGGTTGGGAAGTCTAAAACATGCTGTTTGGTGAGGGCTTGCTTTTTGGCTTTTAAACACTCACCTTCTTGTTGTGTCTTCACATGGCTGAGAGACAGCTCATCTCTCATATCACCTCTTATATGGGCATTGATCCCATTCATGAGGGCTCCACCCTCATGAACTAATCTCCTCCCAAAGTCCCACCTTCAAATACCATCACATTGGGGATTCAGGTTTCAATATATGATTTTTGGAGGGATATAAACATTTAGTTCATAATATAAGTCATCACAGAGGAGGTGACATTGAGTCAAGTTTTAAGAATAACTAGGAGTTTTTCAAAAGAAAGACAGGGGGAAGGGTATTCCCAGCAAAAACAAAAGAAAAAAAAAAACCTGTAGGCAAAGGGAGATTTTAAAGTGCCATAGCATTTCAAGACAGTTCAACAAGTTCAGTCTAATTGTAGCCTAGGGTGTGGGTGGCAGAGTGATGAGAGTTAAAGCTGGACAAGTAATTTAAGGACAAGTAATTAAATGTTTTAATGTATTAAGGCAAGGAGCTTGAACTTCATATATAGGCCAGGCAGCCAGAGACAGCAGAGAAGTTTTAAAAGCAAGAGTCGTATAGCCATATTTGGTTCACAGAAAGAATAGCCCTAGTTGCTATGTGACACATACCTAGGAGAAGGAGGTGAGGAGTCTGGAGACTGAGATATGAGACGTGATAGTCCAGGGAAGTGATAATGAGGCCCTGAAAGAAGGCAGGACAGTGGGAATAAAAAGGAGGCACAGATTAAAAAGCCATTTCTAGGGTAGAATTAACAGGGTATAGAGATTGAAAGGATTGGAGGTTAGGGAGAGAGAGGGGGGTTTGGGTAGGACCACTGCATTTCTAGCATGGAGATGAGATGGATTGAAACACTATATACTGAAATGGAGAATAGGCAGGGTGGGCTTTTTTTTTTTTAAAGGAAAATAGTGAGTTTAGTTTGCACCATGTATAGTGGAGGTGCCTGAGGAACATCCAAGATAGTTATGACACAGAATGAGGAAAAGTAAGAACAGATACCTCTGTATTATGTCCCAGGAAGCCCAATGGCCTTGAGAGACAAATGACATTAACAGGCTAGGACAGTTGAAGCTTTCTAGTAGCTGGAGAGGGGAGGAAATAAGAAAAATACAACTGAAATAGTGTGAATTTATAACACCAAGAGCCACATGAAGGGAAACTGAACATCAGCTAGGTCTCTCTAGAGGAACTTTGTCCCAGATAGTGGGACCTTGCAATGAACTTGACCTTCTCGGATAGTGCCTCTTGTCTCTAGACTTTCTCATTTTTTTAAGAAGCACCAATGCAAAACTGAATTTTTAAGAAATTATTTCCTTATAGATACTTAGTTTGAACAAACATTTGTGCTTTTATATTCACATTTAAGTCTCTGACATATAGTAATGCATCGTTTAATGACAGGGACACTTTCTGAGAAATGTTTCGCTAGGCAATTTTGTTTTTGTGTGAATATCATAGAGTGTACTCACACAAACCTACATAGTATAGCCTACTACACACCTGGGCTCTATAATTAGAGCTGTCAAAAACGTTTACTGGGTAACCTCAGAATGCAGGCTGTTTTACTGCACTAATGTATGAGAGGTTTAAACAGAATAAAATTCTGCCTTCCACCCTTTATGAAAGCCCAAACTCAAGGTATTCCTAAAGGCCCTCAGTAACTTTAAAATGCAAATAAATAACCTTCGGTTTAAGTATTTGAGTGTAGAGAGACCTGACAAAGAAGTGTTATTGATTCTTGGGGAGAATCGATCAACAAGTACTCCTGAGAAGCCAGACAACTTGAAGGCTTCGGCTGTGGAGCCAGCTAGCAGTAGAATCCCCAGAGCCAAATTGGAGAAATTTTGACCCACACTCGTGGGGAAATGCTAAGTCTTAACACAAACACTAATGCAAATGATCATTATCATTCATCCAGAGAAGACATACGCTCAGATTTGAAGACTTTGTCTGTAATATATGCAAAATTCTGGGTAAAAAAATATGAGGAAAATGTGTGGAAATCAGAATGCGAAAGACCTTTTGGGTGTGGCACCTGATCAGCAATCTTCCTTAGCTCCTGCATGCATGTTCTTGGGATACTGCACTGAGTCTGTTTTCCTCCCCTTGAAGATCAGCTCAAAGGCTGAAAGAGAATGATGATAACATGTCTGCTTGTCCAGCAACATAGAACAGCCCTGCACTCCAGGTGTCAGCCCTCATGTGCCCCTAGACTCCTCTTTTGCGCCTTTTATCATAGTGTCCCTGCTTGGAGCTGAAGTCATCCTTCTTTCCCAAGGCAGGCCAGTGTGGTAGGAGTAGAGGTGCAGAGCACAAGTCAAGGCAAGCTTGTGTTTTCAGATCTAAGATTTATTAAAAAGAATAGAAATACAACAAACACCTCACTGAGTACTCATCCCCCAGAAGTAACTAGTGTTTCCATTTGTTCATTCATTCTTGCTCCAGATAGTCCTAGCTTTTTCCCTCCAGAGCAATTTTTCCTCCTCTCTCCAGAGATAACCACTATTGTGAATTGGGTGTTTATTCTGCCAGTCGTTCATGTTGTTGAATCCAACTTTTAGAGTTGGAAGGTATGTTAGGGCCTGATCTTTTTTATTTTAAAAATGATGATGTTAAAGTCTAGAGGAATTAAATAATGCAAATTAATCTCTTTCTCTTTTGTTTTTTGCATATCCTGATTAAGTTCAACCTAAAGATGAGTATAACAAAAAGATTAACCCATTGTGAATTTATTCAATGGATACTTTTTGCTGCCTGTTCTGTGCTATGGAGATAGAAAGAAAAAAGAGGTAGAGAAAGAAGAAAAGGAAGAAAGATATGACATAATTTTTCTTATCAGGGAAGTGATATTTATTCATATGAAATAATAAATAAGATAGTGGAGGGGAGGAAAATTTTTCTTTTTCCTCTACCCATCTTAGGATTATTAGCTAGGGCCTTGTAAATCAGACTGACAAAAGACAGATTAACAATAGAAAAGCACATGGAAGTTTATTAACATGTAGCATATAAACATAGGAGCATGGACATGAGTAGCTCAAAATGGTTAGCACTTGGCCTTATATAACATCTTTTTTTATTGAGACAGAGTCTTTCTCTGTTACCCAGGCTGGAGTGCAATGATATGGTCTCAGCTCACTGCAACCTCTACTTCCTGGGTTCAAGTGATTCTCCTGCTTCAACCTCCCAAGTAGCTGGGACTACAGGTGCTTGCCACCACGCCAGGCTAATCTTTGTATTTTTAGTAGAGATGGGATTTCACTATGTTGGCAAGGCTGGTCTTGAACTTCTGACCTCACAATCCTCCCACCTCAGCTCCCAAAGTGCTGGGATTACAGGGGTGAGCCACCATACTTGGCCCTACATAGCATTTTAATGAAAGAACAATAGAGCTTAGAGGAGTGACAAGACAATGGAAAAGGACTTTCTAGAGTAGCAGATGATGGGAAGGTAAACCTACGTGTGAGCTAAGAGAAGATAAGGATTAGTGAATAGTTTGTTATATAGAGTCCTGCGGCATGTTTCTGGGCAAAGTAAGGGTCTAGAGTACTCTCGAGTTATTTACTCTGATTTTCCTGATAGAGAGGAGTGACACCTTTATGAATGTATATCCTGCATTTAGACAAATGAGCTTGTATCTGCTTCTCAATTGCCTTTAGTTCAAAATAATCAATGTGCCAACGTGGTGTGTTTTGTGAGGCATATTCTGTTATTCTTCAATAGGATAGAACTAAAGGCTAAATTCTACAGAATCAGTGCTAAGTATAGAAGAGTCAGAAGGTACTGTGCATCATCTAGAAGGGGAGAATCAGTACTGAATGGGTTATTGGAGAAGGTTTTGCAGATGAAGACCAATTTTTCCTAGGCTGTGGTGGAAAGGTTGATATTGACAGCCTGAGGCAGAATAAAGAGGAAGAAGGAATGAAAGGGAATAGTGGAAAGCAAGATTAGAACAATGAGCAGGAATCTGGGCATGGTGGCTCACACCTGTAATTCCAGCTACTTGGGAACCTGAGTCATGAGAATTGCATAAAGCTGGGAGGTGGAGCTTGTAGTAAGCCAAGGTTATGCTACTGCATGATCTAACCTGGGCAACAGAGCGAGGCACTGTCTCAAAAATACAATACAATACAATACAATACAATACAATACAATACAATACAATACAATACAATAAAAGTTATAGAGTCACAGTGAAAGATACAGAATGATCATAATATAGCTATTTTACAATAGCATATAGCATAGCAAACCAAACATACCGTATTTTTTTGTAAAAACAAAAAAATATACATGCACATAGAAAAAAAGACTGGAGAAAAATACACCTGAACACCAACAATGATTATCTTTAGAAGGTAGAATTACTTCTCATTTCTATTTTCTCTTTTTAATATCCACATTTTCTAAAATTCCCTTCAATTAACATGCTTGCTTTTGTAGTAAGGAAATTATAAAAATTGCAAGCCATAATTATGCATTTGTTGAAATAATCTGACAGCTCACTGAGCCAGAAAAGTAATGAAATTATTTTTATTTATTTGCTTGTCTTGGAATCTGTGGTGTAATGTTAACAGATGTCAAAATTTCCAAATGATTATGTGATTGAGAAAGAGAACGCACATTCCTAAACTTAGAAGAGGTAAAAAAATAACCACTGAGGACTCAGGACTTGAACAAGGTAAAGACTTGAAGGCTGAGTTAATTCCTTGAAGAAAACCATGCTGCTTAGCCCATCTCTTCAATGGAACATTCTTACCTTCTAGACCATATATCTGACGTGTAGACTAATGTCAGTTGACTTTTATATTTATTTTTTTTGCTTGAAATTAAATACATGCAGGCAAAAAACAACAGTACTTTTCTTCCTGAAGGTTTGGTACTAGTTTACCAATAACTTTTGGGAAGTTTCATTAACTGTTTATAGCTTTGTATTCCCCCACCCAGTAGAAAATAAGAGACCCAGTGCTGGGTTCAGGAGGCCAAGGTGGGAGGATCATTTGAAGCCAGGAGTTTGAGACCAGGCTGGGCAACATATCAAGACCCCATCTCTATAAAAAAGAAAAAAGAAGAGACCAAGAAACTTTTCCTCTAGCCTTAAATTCTCTAGTATAATGATTATTTTTAAAAGTTCACATTTAAATTGCTGTATGTGCATACAGGATTATTCTGAAAGAAAGATGAACCTCAAGTAATCCATAATTTTTTTCCCCCACTTGTACCAAAAGTTGTGTTTAGGGGGCAGTGAAAAGTTCCTCTTGTATTTAAATTGTGTGCCCTTTATATAGGGCTAATGACCAATCCTAATGGAAATCTTTGCTCTGAGTCATCTGATAGTAATTTAATCTCTGTGAAAAATACACATATGTGAGTAATGGTACTAATTAGTCTTTTCCTCGTGTCTGTGCACACACACAAAATTAAAAGCAATAGAACAGCTTAGGTGGCAGAGGACAGCTAATGATGACAGCACACCAGGATACCTGGGTAAAAAGGCATAAAAAACTACCTCAGTCACAGATTTGCCTATTTAAATAAACAAACAAAAAAGCAAACAAACAAGAGAAACCTTGGCAAGGATAAATAACCAAGTGCCAGGACTCAGGTGAATGACTGATTCAACTGCATGCAGCTGGAATCCAAGGAAGAATTTGAAAAAGAATAAAGAATATAATTATTCCCATAAAAGATTTGTCTAGCTCCTGGCAGTTGTCAAGAATATCTGACAAGATTTTTTTTTAAATCATACTTTAAGTCCTGCGATACATGTGAAGAATGTGCAGGTTTGTTACATAGATATACATGTGCCATGGTGGTTTGCTGCACCCATCAACCTGTCATCTACATTAGGTATTTCTCCTAATGCTATCCCTTCCCTAGCCCCCTACCCTCCACAACAGACCCCAGTGTGTGATGTTCCCTTCCCTGTGTCCATGTGTTCTCATTGTTTAACTCCCACTTATGAGTGAGAACATGTGGTGTTTGGTTTTCTATTCCTGTGTTAGTTTGCTGAGAATGATGGTTTCCAGCTTCATCATGCCCCTGCAAAAAACATGAACTCATCCTTTTTTATGGCTACATAGTATTAGCTAGTGTATATGTGCCACATTTTCTTTATTCAGTCTATCATTGATGGGCATTTGGGTTGGTTCCAAGCCTTTGTTATTATGAATAGTGCTGCAATAAGCATGCATGTGCATGTATCTTTATAGTAGAACTTAAACAAATTTACAAGAAAAAAACAACCCCATCAAAAAGTGGGTGAAGGATATGAACAGATGCTTCTCAAAAGAAGACATTTGTGCAGCCAACAAACATATGAAAAAATGCTCACCATCACTGGTCATTAGAGAAATGCAAATCGAAACCACAATGAGATACCATCTCACGCCAGTTAGAATGGTGATCATTAAAAAGTCAGGAGACAACAGATGCTGCAGAGGATGTGGAGAAATAGGAACACTTTTACACTGTTGGTGAGAATGTAAATTAGTTCAACCATTGTGGAAGACAGTTTGGCAATTCCTCAAGGATCTGGAACTGGAAATACCATTTGACCCAGCAATCCCATTACTGGGTATAAACCCAAAGGATTATACATCATTCTACTATAAAGACATGATTTTTTTTTAAAGTAAAACACCTTTCTTTCTTGTTTTGTTAGATATCATAAATTTGGATGAAACTTGGAAGTGTTAGTCCAGAAAATTTGTTTTGAAATGAAAATCCTTTGTCCTTTAGATATCAAACATTTCTTAGAGCATTTGAAGTTAAGCATCCTATAGCATTTCGCATTAGCTGGGGTCTGATAATAGAAAGAGCAGGCAAAGGTGTCTGCAGCTGAGATTTGGGTAAGCAATCAAAAAGTGATTGGTGTTGTTTTTATTTCAGCTGTATTATTGTCTTCTGCTACCCTAATTTCCAATCTCAAAATTGATTGAGTTCATGGCAAATATTTTGGAATATACTGTTAAGCTGTCTAGTGTTAGGAAATGGAGAAAGGCCATAAAAATGTTAAAGAAATGAGTGGTTATTTTCTTATATCAGTGGCTAAGAAAAGAATGAAAATAAACTCCTCCCAACCTCACATCTTTCACACCTGCTTTGGATGTCCCAGCACCAAAGCATCTGTCCGTGGAGGTGAGCTCTGTGTGTGTGTGTGTGTGTGTGTGTGTACAACTTGGATATTCAGGGATGCATGATACAGAGGAGGGGCATTATTTTCTGAGTTTTATTTGAAATAGCTAATATCAAACAGCTGAAGAAACACAGCATGGCTGAACTCTTCCTTAAATGTTCCCAAAAGCAAACTAGTGTTTTTTTTTACTTGATATTATCAGAAACACAAAGTGTGAATTTTTTTGTGTAGTTGAGTGTCACCAGAGACCAGGATGAAGAGAATCAGGCTCCAGAGCCAACCTGGACTGATGCTGTGCCTGCCACTACCTCATCTGAGGCCACCATCACCCCAAGGCCACTGCTTAGCTCCCCTGTGGTTGGGGCAGAGGGTAGGTAAACCAGAACTCCAAGTCCCATTTTGATTCTACAGCCAGAAAATTTGGTGCACAAAGGTAAGAGAGATCTGCCAATCTGCCACTGTATCTACAATGTGAGGAAGGCACAGGGTTACCCAGAGAGAAAATGTTATGATTCTAAACAAGCTGGACAAAATATAGTTTTCACTAGACTATATGTAGAATTTGAAATCTGGCTGGCAGTGGAGTAAATTTGGTCTATAAAGAATTTCAACGCTCTTATAGTATTTATTATTTTAGTTTGAATGCCTTTAGAGGGAATTGTGTTCTCCTGTTTGCCATAGTCCCTACTGCTTCCTACTGTCTTACATGTGCCCTTCACACATGTAGGCATTTGAATTTTTGATGCTTTTATTGCACAGGAATGAGAAACAAGCTAAAATCTAGATTCTGATTTATTAACATATTTTCTATGAAGTTAATATCTATTAAAAATGTATTATTATATACATATTTTCTATAGAACATGAGAGATGTTTTTGTGCTCAAAGGAAGTTTAGATTAGCTTGAAAATGAATTATACAATATACATTATTTTGTTTTGTTTTTAGAGGTAGTAGAAATCTATGGTTCATTTCCATTAGGTCTAGGGAGTCTTCATAATAGAGGTAGATTTAGATGTAAGTTTTAGAAAATAAATGAACCAAGGCATACTCCAAATCTGGGGAAATGTTTAAGGAAGATAGAGAGAGGGCTGATTTAGGTATTGCCAAATAAAGCTGATGACATATAAGTCCCAGATAGCAATTATCTATTTGATTTTTTGTTTGTTTGTTTTTTTGGCTTCTCCCACTTTGGAATCACTTCTTCAAGTAGGAAATACTAATCAAGGCACTCCAGAGTACCATACAATAAAAAGGAATTTAGCAAATGAGGAGTTCCATAATTAAAGAAACCTTATTGGGACAATGTGTCTTTGTTGTTATAGCTGTCCTATGCTTTTTTATAGTAGATATATTTCTACGATCAGGTTATATAATATTAGAAAATCATACCATGTTTTTAGTGTCCTGCAAGAGCTGGTTTTTTCTTTTTCTTTTTCTTTTTTTTTTTTTTGAGATGGAGTCTCACTCTGTCACCAGGCTGGAGTGCAATGGCGCAATCTCAGCTTACTGCAGCCTCTGCCTCCTAGGTTCAAGGGATTCTCTGGCCTCAGCCTCCCAAGTAGCTGAGACTACAGGCATGCGCCAGCACACCCAGCTAATTTTTGTATTTTTATTAGAGACAGGGTTTCATTATGTTGACTCGGATTGTCTCAATCTCTTGACCTCATGATCTGCCCACCTCGGCCTCCCAAAGTGCTGGGATTACAGGCATGAGCCACCGCACCTAGCCTTAGAGCTGCTCTTTTTTTTTTTTTTTTTTTTTTTTAATTTTTTATTGGATTTTAGGTTTTGGGGTACATGAGCAGAGCATGCAAGACAGTTGCGTAGGAACACACATGGCAGTGTGCTTTTCTTTCCTTCTCCCCTTCACCCACATTTGGCATTTCTCCCCAGGCTATCCCTCCCCACCTCCCCCTCCCACTGGCCCTCCCCTTTTCCCCCCAATAGACCCCAGTGTTTAGTACTCCCCTTTCTGTGTCCATGTGTTCTCATTTTTCATCACCCGCCTATGAGTGAGAATATGCGGTGTTTCATTTTCTGTTCTTGTGTCAGTTTGCTGAGGATGACGTTCTCCAGATTCATCCATGTCCCTACAAACGACATAAACTCATCATTTCTGATTGCTGCATAATATTCCATGGTGTATAGGTGCCACATTTTTCCAATCCAGTCTATTATCAATGGGCATTTTGGTTGATTCCAGGTCTTTGCTATTGTAAACAGTGCTGCAATGAACATTCGTGTACATGTGTCCTTGTAGTAGAACGATTTATAGTCTTTTGGATACAAAGAGAGCCCCTCATTTTGCTTTTTGGTTCTTTTTCGGTAGCTTAAGGAGTTTTTCTTTCATAGTGGACAATTGCATGTGATCATGGTGGTGCTTTCTGTGAACAGACTGGGAGGAAATTTGAACAGAAAATGGAAATAATTTTTATACCAAATATTAATTTGATTTTAAATCAAATCTAATGTAAATGAAAGAAGTCCTGTCTTTCTCCTGTTAACTAATCCCCACAAAAGTATTAGCCAGTGAAGTCTCACTTAGGCTTTCAGGGATGTAAGCATTTTTAATACGATTTCATGAAGACCAAAAACTTTCATGTTTTCAAAAGAATTACTATCTAGTGGTAGAGTTTCAGGTGGTGAGGGAAATATTTTGGGTTTTAGGAAATCCTTCTTTCACTTACTTAGAACTATATTTTCTTGGTTGGTCTGCTAGTATGCATGAAGAAGAAATAGTTTATTTATATAACTTTATAAGTTTTTTATTTTTTATGTCTTCAGTATAAGAAAAATCTGTAATACATTATCCTTTTCTCACTCTAGATCCTAGATGTTTGGAAGCCTTGAAGCCTGGAAACTGTGGTGAATATGTGGTTCGATGGTATTATGACAAACAGGTCAACTCTTGTGCCCGATTTTGGTTCAGTGGCTGTAATGGCTCAGGAAACAGATTCAACAGTGAAAAGGAATGCCAAGAAACCTGCATTCAAGGATGAGCAAGTAAACTGGCCTGTCTCTATCAAAAGTCTAGAATTCCCTAATTTCTGCATATTCACCCAATACAAATACAGCACTATAGTCTAGTGTAAACTGAGTATTTCAACTTATCAATGTAATTGAATTCTCACTACAGCCCTAGGATGTAGGTATTATTAACCACTACGTAGATAAGGAAGCTGAAGCTCTGAGAAGTTTAGTAACTTGTCAACTGTCACCCACTTAAAAAGTGTGAGAGCTGAGGATTTAGACTTAGAGGTGTGTAACTGCAATACACATGCTCTATCTACTTCACAGCCTGCAAGGTGATTCTGATTCCTTTCATTCCTGCTGTATGTACTATGTCAGCTCATATCCCTACCGCTGCCCCTGCCCATACCCTTACCCACTCACCTCCCCAACCTCCTTATGTCCCACCTATCCCAGTAGCAAGAGGTAGGTGATAAGAAGGACTTTAGTGTGGAAATTAGAAATGATGGGAGTGTTTATGAAGGAGTGCTGGGATAGGAGTAGGGATGGTGAGGGTAGTTACGTTTTTGCCTCATTTGCCCTGAAAGCCGTAATAGGGAAAAATCAATCTGAATTAAAATTAAATAAATGTTTTACAAACTGTCACTTTGTATTTTTCCAACATGTTTGGTAACAAAGTGTTTAATGTATGTTTAAACAAAGAAGCTTTTTACACCCTTCCATTAAAATACATAAATCTGGGGTTACCCTTCCATTTTATGGGAGTGGAATGGGAAGGCCCTTGAAAATCAACCACTTGAAGTTGACATCCACTCTGGAGCAGGCTGTGTTAAAGACAGGACTCACACTGAAAGGTGAGCCACCAAATTGAAACACGAGTAATGGAGAGTAATGAAGAATTGGCTCTGTATTTTTATATAATACTTTTGCAACATCCCGTCTGGGAAGACCATTAGTTCTGAGCTGAGCTCAGACAGCACTTGCATATTTCATCTTGCATATTTCTCCTTCTATCGGGTCTACCCTCATTCAATTAAACAGTGTAAAAAAATTCACTCAAGGAAGAAGGAGATGGAAGAATAGCCATCTTGGCAGAAATAATATAATTTTTTTTAGTTAATTAAAATTGTATTATGTAATGTTTGATACTACAAAAGAAGATATGCAACATACTCATCAATTTAAAAACACGATAAGTTGAACACCAGTGAACACATCACCTAGAGAATGAAACAAACATCACAAATTCCATTCAAGCTTCCTGTGTGGCCCTCCACCATCCCAGCCCCCTGTTCCATGCCAGGAATATCCCATTTTGAACTTTTTGTTTACCATGTCAATGTGCTGTTGACTTTTATAGGTAACTTTACATGTAAAACTCCACATATCTCTATGTGTCTCTAAACAATAAATGTTTAACCTTGTTTATTTTAGAGCTTTACAAATATGGTGTCAGTGGTGTCATACACTAGTCTTCTGCAACTTACTATTTTCATTCAATGTTATAACTAATTCACATATTTTATGATATATAAATATATTTCTAAATAATTTATTATTTAGTTTTTTGAGCTTTAGAAAATATGCATCATAATATGTAATTTTTTACAACTCACTAGATTTTTTTTTTCATTTTAAACAAGAATTTATTTAAACAACGAGATGCTTGACTTGAAGGATTCTTTTTTTTGTTTTGTTTTAGAGTAATTTATCCCTACTTAAAGACAGATTGCCCTACGTATAACAGATATGTACAAAAAAGTTATAAAGTTGTCCTTGGTTTTACAATGATAAATGAAAAACATTAAAATTCTCCAATCAAACAAGGTATGCAAGTATTTTTATTTTTATTTTTTTGTTAAAACAGTGAGAGCAAAATAACTTACTGGAATATAAAGATAAAACCTGAACGAGCATACCACTAATGGAGAAAGGGGGTATTTTCACAGAATCAGTATTTTTCCCCATCCCGTCTCCACTTGATGTCAATCAAAACATATCAATGGCTGTTAAAAAAAGAAGCAATAAAGGAATGGGGAAAGGGAAAATGAAAGAATAGAGAAAATTATACTGTAGTAGTCAGGATGTGGTGGAACCAAATTGCAGTTTTCTAATTGAGAATGTTATCTTGGTCTTTAAAGAACAGAGTTCTGAAGTAAAGAAGCAGGTTCTCTTTTCAGTAGACACCTCCCGTCTGCTGTTGGAACACATCAATTGTATCTTGAGCCTCCATTTCCAACTGTGCAGGTGTGTCTGTTTCATTGATTGGTCGCCCGTCAAATCGGGATCTGATCTGCCTCATTGACAATCCCTGTCGTTCATTAGTTTATTAGGCTTTCATTAGTTTACTAAGTGGTGTATGCCTCTTAATCTTAAACTGCACCACAGAACTATCCTGCCCCACCACTTTCAAATTAATATGATCGTTGTTCTCAGTCTTGACTCCTTCTTTGGGCTTTTCTTCGGCCATGGCAAGTGCCGGGGACTCCTCAGCTGCTGCTTCCCAAAAGAGGTCCAGGTCTGTACCAAATGAGCACAGAAGCAGCACCAGCAACTCACTAGATTATTACATTATAATTCATACATTTTCATTTACTTCCACAGTTGTATATTTGTGTGAATATACTACTATATATATATAATCGTTGCCTCATCTATGATCAGTTAAGTTCTTCTATTTTATTTTCATCAGTATTCCAACACTGTTGCTGTGAATGCTCTTATTCATGTCTCTGGGCACACATACATCAGTGTTTTTCTGGGGTATAGTCCCCAAAAGTAGGATTGCTGGGTTGCAGAGTATGTAAACATTTAAAACCAGTATATCATATCCATTTTATTCCTGAAGTGTCTGAACCAATTTATTATAAAATTCCCATTGCTTGATATTCTCATCAACACTTAGGGTTATCAGATTTCTTTATTTTGCTAGTAAAGGTGTAAAATGGTATCTTGTTTTATTTTGTATTTATTTTTGAGGTGGAGTCTTGCTCTGTTGCCCAGGCTAGAGTGCAGTGGTGCTGTCTCAGCTCACTGCAACCTCCATCTCCCAGGCTCAAGTGATCCTCTCACCTCAGCCTCCTAAGTAGCTTAGACTACAGCCGACTGAGATGGAGTTTTGCCATGTTGTTCAGTCTGGTCTTGAACTCCTGGCCTCAAGTGATCCATGACAGCCTCCCAAATTATTAGGATTATAGGTGTGAGCCATTGCATCTGGCCAGTATATTGTTCTTATTTACCTTACCATGTTTACTTACCCTCTGTGCTGCTGCTTCTGTGAATTACCTGCTTATAGTTAGGAAAGATTTTCTTTATTAGATTTTTTGTCTTATCCTTATTGAATTTTTGAAATTCCTATATATCTGAAATCTAATTGTTTGCTAATTATTTGTGTTGCTAATATCTTCATAGCTTGTCTTTTTACTTGTTTCTTTTTGTTTTAAACTCAATTTTAATGCAGTCCAATTTACCCATCTTTCCTTTTGTGGCTGGCACTTTTGTTTCTTCATTATGCCACTCAGCCTCTTAGCCATCTTTCTCAGGTGAGAAACTTCCCTAGGAAAAAAAAAATGACTCTGAGTGCTGGCTCCACCTCACTACATAATCATCTTTGTGCCAGGTAACTTCTTAGGAGCCCTTAAGCTCTTTGGTGTCAGAGGCATCCAAATCAGAGTGACTCCACCTTGAATAAAGACTGCATGAAGCCAAACCTGCTGGGTTACATTCCCAGGAAGTTAAGTACTCTTGGTCACAAGATGTTTATGGTTAAGGAAACAAGTTAATGGTGCTAACTAATTAAGTAAGACTCAGAACTTATGGAAGTGTCCCAATAAAGAAAAAGCATCCTTTAGTTTAAAGCATCTTAGTTCAAGAGTTTTGCTTTAAAAATAATAATATACTCACAAATTCTTGCTGAAATCAATAGTTGCAGAAGAGAAAACAATGCTAATAGCCTGTCACAAGCTGATCACAAGCTTTTATAATAAAGCACATTTTTAGCTCCAACGCCCTATAGAAGCAAATATTATGTTTTAGGTAGGGGTGTTCCTTATCTTGCTTTTTGAGGACACCCTACTCTAATACAAGTAGTGTCCAATAAACTATCTTAATTTCACTATGCTTTGATACTTGCCCTGAATTCTTTGTGGCATGCCATCTATGAACTTGCTCTTGGGGATCTGGGTTGAGACTCCTTTTCTAGTAACATTGGTGATTTCTAGGTGCTTAAAAAATTTTTTGGGGGCCGGGTGCGGATCCCAGCACTTTGGGAGGCCGAGGCGGGCGGATCACTTGAGGCCAGAAGTTTCAGACCAGCCTGGGAACATGGCAAAACTGCGTCTCTACACAAAATTTAAAAAATTAGCCAGGCATCATGATGGGTGCCTGTAGTCCCAGCTACTTGGGAGGCTGAGGTGGGAAGATCACTTGAGTCCAGGATGTCAAGGCTGCAGTCAGTGAGACCAAGACCCCATCTCTGAAAAAAAAAGGTTTTGGCTTTATCTTCTTTAGTTGTCTTTAGCATGAAAATGAGTATGAGATATAGAAATAGACTTTCCCATATTGTTATAAGTAAAATTTTGATGCTACAAAAGAAATAGCACTCTAAGATATGTCCTCTCAGCAAGGCAATTTACTTCTCTTTTTTTTTTTTGAGAAAGAAGGAAAGAAAAAAGGAGTGAAGGAGAGGAAGAAAGAGGAAGAAAAAGAGGGAGAGAGGAGAGAACAGAAATGTTGCTTTATTCTAAAAAAAATGGGTATTAATAATGGCCAATCAATATTTCATTTAAACCTATGAGTAGGTGTGATGTGGTATTGACAAGAATGTATATTTTGTGTATTTAAAGTGGAGAGCTCTATAAATATTTATTAAGTTTACTTGTTCCAGATCTGAGTTCGAGTCCTTGATATCCTTATTAATTTACTGTCTCATTGAGTCTAAGTCTCTATGTATCTGGGTGTTAGGATCGTTAGCTCTTATTGTTGCATTGATCCTTTTACCACTATATCTTTGTTGCTTTAAAATCTATTTTATCAGATACGAGAATTGCAACTCCTGCTTTTTATTTATTTATTTATTTATTTATTTATGCTCTCCATTTGGTTGGTAAATCTTTCTCCATTCCTTTGTTTTGAGTCTTTGTGTATCCTTGCATGTGAAATGGGTCTGGATGTAGCTTACCGTTGGGTTTTGGCTGTATCTTTTGATTGGGGGATTTAGTCAATTTAAATTTACGGTTACTGCCATTTGATGTTAACTGGCTGTTTTATCCATTCGTTGATATAAATTCTTCTTTATGTTGATGCTCTTTATTTTTTGGTGTATGTTTAGAAAGGCTAATACTGGTTGTTTCTTTCTATGTGTAATGCTTCTTTCAGAAGCTCTTGTAAAGCAGGCCTGTTGGTAATAAAATCTCTGAGTACTTCTTGTTCATAAAAGATTTTATTTTTCCTTAAGTTGTGAAGCTTAGTTTGGCTGGATATGAAATTCTGGGCTGAAAGTTCTGTTCTTTAAGGATGTTGAATATTGGCCCCCACTCTCTTCTGGCTTGTAGAATTTCTGCTGAGAGATCTGCTGTAAGTCTGATAGGCTTCCTTTGTGAGTAACCTGACCTTTCTCTCTGGCTGCCCTTAGTATTTTCTCCTTCGTTTCAACCCTGGTAAATCTGATTATGTGCCTTGGGGTTGCTCTTCTTGAGGAATATCTTTGTGGTGTTCTCTGTATTACCTGGGGTTGAATATTGTCCTGCATTGCAAGGTTAGGAAAATTTTCTTGAATAATATCCTGAGGAATATTTTCCAGCTTAGATTCATTCTCTCCGTCACATTCAGGTACACCTATCAAATGTAAATTTGGTCTTTTCACAAAGTCCCACATTTCTTGGAGACTTTGCTCATTCCTTTTTATCCTTTTTTCTCTAATCTCATCTTCTCGTTTTATTTCATTAAGTTGGACTTCGACCTCTGATATCCTTTCTTCTGCTTGAACAATTCGAGTGTTTAAACCTGTGTATACTTTCGGAGTTCCCGTATTGTATTCTTCAGTTCCATTAATTCACTTATATTCCTCTCTAAGTTGTCTATTCTCATTAGGATTTCGTCAAACCTTTTTTCAAAGTTCTTAGTTTCTTTACATTTGGCTACAACATGTTCTTTTAACCCAAAGAAGTTTCTTATTATCCATCTTCTGAAGCCTGATTCTGTTAATGGGATGTGCTCATTCTCCATCAAGCCTTCCCTTGTTGATGAGGAACTGTGATCCTCTTTAGAGGGAGAGGCGTTCTGATTTTGAGTATTCTCAGCCTTTTTACGCTGGTTTCTTCCCATCATCGTAAATTTATCCACCTGTCGTCTTTGTAATTACCAACTTTGAAATTAGGTCTCTGAGTGGACGTCCAAGTTGTTAATTCCCAGGGCCAAAATATGAGCAACCCACTGCGCTGGCCAAATCAGTGGCATTAAGACTGATGGTGCTTTTCTGCCTGGGAATCTCCAGTCTGGCTTCCTTCTTGAGTCTGTAATAGGCGATTCTGCCTTCCCGGAGCTCCAAACGTTGATCAGAAGGGGAACCAGTCCCATTTACTCTGCCCCAAGAGCTGCTGCTCTGAGGTGCCGGCAAAACTGCTGCGCTGGCCACAAGAGTCGCGCTGGTGACCCATGCGGCTCCTCCACTGGGAATCTTCTGCTCCGTGAGCAACAAAAATTTGTCTGAAAGTGTGGCGTCCTCTCGTTCTCTGCGCTTTCACTGGGAGCTGCAATCCTGAGATGTTAGCGATCAGCCATCTTGGATCGTTCCCCCAGCAATTTACTTCTATAGAAAGGTGTGGGGCGCAAGGACAGAGCAATGATGGTCACCATAGCTTGGAGAAGGTGGGAAGGGGCACTTATGCTTGACGGAGGTTGTCCCTATTGCTGTGTCATCCCCTATTGGCTAGGGTTAGACTGCACAAGCTAGACTAATTCTGATTCGCTATTTTTTTTTTTTTTTTGAGACGGAGTTTTGCTCTTGTTACCCAGGCTGGAGTGCAATGGTGCGATCTCAGCTCACTGCAACCTCTGCCTCCTGGGTTCAGGCAATTCTCCTACCTCAGCCTCCTGAGTAGGTGGGATTACAGGCACGCGCCACCATGCCCAGCTAAATTTTTGTATTTTTAGTAGAGACGGGGTTTCACCATGTTGACCAGGATGGTCTCGATCTCTTGACGTCGTGATCCACCCGCCTTGGCCTCCCAAAGTGCTGGGATTACAGGCTTGAGCCACTGTGCCCGGCCCGCTATTTTTTTTTTTAAAAAGAGTAGGGGTCTGGGCTGGAGTGGCAGGGTGGGTGTTTTGGTAGGATGAACTGTGATGGCTGTGTCAGAGCAGGTAAATCAGGTAGCCAGGGGGATGAGTCAGGATGGGATGGTGTCAGGGGTCCAGCGGGGTAGATGTGAAATACTGATTGGAACCAGAGAAGGTTGTTTCCTAGAATTA